TCTTACAGCATCGATTGAAGATAAATACAACACACACACACATACAATTCATATCGGAATCTGATAAAGAAACATATTAGTAAAACTACCGTAATGTAATTAGAGATATCGATCAGGCAATCTCAAACGGTACTCCCTTGTATTTGTTCGAATTCTTTATGCCCTAACGATTTGTAATGTTTTCTTTCGCGACACCATCTTTTTTAAGTTATCAATTACAGTTCTTGATTTTGGAACGCAACACCTTGGCTTTGAAGTCGCCCCGATCGCGGACCTTTGACTCGTTTTTATCATAATAACTAGAGAGCCTCGGTTGTCAAATTGGGGCCATGCAACAAACACAGACCTCCATCAAACGATTGTCTATCTGCAAGACGGCATATCTCCGGTATTCATCGGAAAAAAATACTCTATCGCGGCAAAGTTATCGTTGGAGGGATCACAGACAGCTACAAACGAGTAATATCACTACCTCGGTTGTCAGACGGCGGAACCCTTTGAAGACATTGTCTTAGTGAAGAACAGAAGTCAATCGTGTTATGAACGCCTGGCCAGGGCAGGACAGTAAAGCTCTCGCCCTGTCGGCTACTTGTTCCATTCAGTGCGCCAGGCTAGACACAGGCTGCCAAGCAGAGTGGAAAATTGTTCTTAAGTCTTGTCGGCATGTTGGCAGAAATTGTAGCGTTCTGACGATTGTTGCTGGACAAAAGGCGTAAAATTGAACACAATTATTAATTCGGGATTAATTTCGATTACAAGGCAGAATTTGCTAAGCCATCGTTACGTAAACAACATCCGTAAACGGTTAAATGCGCCGACAATGTACCGTAGTTAATGCGTTTACACAAATAACTATTTTAATACCTAATATTACCAACAACTACAACAAAAACATAAAGCCAAAGCCAGGCTAATTGAAAAGGTTACTATGGGGAGAAATACGTTGTAATAAATATGATAAGCACAACAAAAGTATATTAATAGTTTAATAAATAATAATTAGGCCTATATCAACAATATTACTAATAAATTTTCACTAAATAAATCTCCTAATAAAATCATGAAAGATAACATAAGTGATTGATGACTTGCTCATTTCAACAATTATGACTACTTTTGAAAGCTAAAGGTAAAGCGCAACAGTGAGAGGGAAGATTTGCTTTAATCGGGTTTGAATTCCTAAAACGAAGCCTCAATGGTTGGTTAAGGCGTGCGAGTAGACGGAAGGATAGGTCCTGGGTTCGAATCCCGTATTGGAACCTTTTTTCACACTCGCTGATTCTACTTATTTATTATTATTATTCTTACTTATACTTATGATTCTATGATAAAACTAGGGCAAGAAGGTTAATGTATTTCTATATCGTATTATGGTTTATATCTGTCTCTTATACACATCTAGATGTGTATAAGAGACAGCAGCTGGACCTGTGCGATACGTTTTTCTAGCCTGGTGTTACTTAATTACTGTACTTAATACCTACAAACCAATTGATAAATAAATAACCATTATACCACAGAGGTTTCATGGTTGAACAGATTCAAATAACCATCAGATACACTCTATTACACAATAGGTACGGCTGGAAAGAAACTGTAACGTATAATATACAGTAAATCAAGATAGCCGTTAACACTGTTAAATTATATATAAATTATCAAAGAAAGGTAAATACAGCCTCTGTGGTCTAATGGTTATGACGCTCGCTTTGACAGCAAGAGTTCGCAGGTTTGAATCCCGTCAGAGGATTTTATTACACAATGTATTTATTTATAGGATAACAACCGTTGAGAGCTATGCTACAGGATGTATCATGTCCTTTACTCGAACCCTGTATATATATATACATATATATAGGCCTGTGTGTATGTGCGTGTCCGTTACCATAGAAAATAACGCTTTCGTTAATTTTGAACAAGTGCTTGTCGTACGATGACAAATCCAAGTACAAATTTCAAGGTTCATTTACACATGAAAGGTTCCGACCCGTCACTCATTGTACATTATGCTCATTGTTTTTTTACGAGTATTTAACCATTGATCGACGCAATAAACAAATGCTTAAATGATAAACAAGCCACGAGACTTTTTTTTAGCATTTCAAAACGATCCATTCAGATTCTTTTGCACTGCAGTACAGTATGTGCCCGTTGATTGGGTACTCTGCATCATGCGCGCGATCGATGTGGCTACGCCCAGTACCTTAAAGAGGAATGACTGATGACGTAAATATACGAAAGCCATTCTTGTTTTGCGCTAACCTCATGTAAACGTATATGACTATGGAGGTTAAATTTTACTTAAAATAATTGTAAATTTCGTGTACTAGTAGCATGTATAAACCATAATAAATAAAACAATACGGTATAAGGTACCCCGCAATATAGTTTGGTTTATTTATTTCATTCACACAAATCGGAAGGCGAAACGTTGCACTTAGACCTAACGATCTCATCCCGAAAAAAAAAAAAAAAAAAAAATCTGAAGTTGTTCTTTCACACCATAACAGATAAATCGAGACAATACTTGATGACAAGGATGGTCATTGATCAATTATTCATTAATGAAATAATTTAATTAGCTCTACTCTATAATTCAATCATGTATATTTGTAACATCCATTTCCGCTGTCGAATTCTAAATTTGACCCTCAATTTTTGGAAGTGTTCGAATTTCGAAACTTCGACCCTGTAAATAGACGACCATAATAAAAAAAAATACCGGCAAACCACATTATAAAAGAAATATTTTGTCTAATAGCTTTAAAAACTGAACTAAAAGGTGTCGTACTTTCGGCAGATACAAAAAGAATGTCCCTTCTTATCTTAACGGTACTGTGGTGAAGATTTATAGGAATCTAGGTTGTTTAAGTCCTATTTTGCAGCAGATGAGCATATACCCCGTACAATATACTGTACTCTGTAAGCTCCTGATAGAATACGAACACACTCATTCTTTGTCTACATACACTTCCAGCTGAAAAGTCGACACATTAAATCTTCTTTGGCGGAGCGCTGAACAAATAAATCATTCGTTAGTACCTACCAGAATTGTTATCGTATTGTATACTATTTCTTTGTGGCAGCATACAAATAAGTACCAGCGCGTATTTAAATAGTATCGCATTACAGACAAAAATATTCCGACACAATTATTTATATTATTATTATTATTATTTATCTCATTGACAAAACTAGTTATTTGATGGTTGGCACTGACTGACTTCCCTAAAAAACTACTGTACCGGGCCTGTATCACTGCTATTACTTCCATACATAAACACATAGGCCTATTCGTAAATCAGGGACAATAATGATTTATTTATGGAGAGCATTCAGAACATGTTTTCATGTGATTTCAGAGTAGACTGTCTAAATTTAGGCTTAAAATATACACAGGGAAGTTATATTTTGCGGTAACAGTGTATATAATAACATTAAATCGTCATAATGTCTATTTTAAAGCAACCAGCTTGACACTGGCGTGGGCTGATCAAATACCATTTTTCAATCGAAATGCAGAATACAGTAAAGTAGAATTGTTAGTGGAACGCCCTCAATAGGAATAGTTTCTCTTCACACTTGGTACCAGTTGTTACAGTCAATTAGGCTAAAAAATCTAAACAAATTCTACTACTGGATTTTTAAAGAGTTTGATGAAACTCCCTTTCTCCTTCATATAATATGGTCACAATCTTACATAATTGTATCTACACGTATGCCTATAGATACATGCATTTATTGGTAATTAAAAATGATCAGACTTCGTGTAAGTTAGAAAAAAAAAGAGGCGGCCTCAAAAAATAATAAGAGTCTTAGACGGGAAATATTTTTTTCTTTACTTGGCCTTGCAGTATATAAAATAACACTAATACATTAGTCATGAGATAGTAAAACTATTTAAAGGGCTTAAAGATATTGTCACGTAGGCCTACAGTATATCTAAAAACTTCATAATTATATTAAACATTTTTAAATTGTTTAATTTATATTTCAATAAACTATAGCTTTAACTGATAATTAGAACGAAATACAATATTTCTACATTTAACAGATGTCTTTGGCCTACCCTAAAATTTCTACTAGAAAATACCTTTACTAAAATATGAAAATAAATTAATATTTGTTTTTAGTATTAATTATATTTCAAGATGTTTTCGAGTGCATAAAGAATGTGTGACGAACCAAGTGGAATCTATAGTACAACAGTTAAACTATAGGCCTATCTATTAACAATTGACAGCACTGTTAGATGATAGTATCTTGTCCGTTTTTAGGGTACGAAACCAGGCATTCGATGATTATCCAACATTTTTTGCTAGTAAACATTCTTCCTCACTTATGAAGAAGTGAAGTAGGTACTTGAATGACGAGGTGGAACGTCGTTATTATACCCCTGTTGTAAGGTCTATTGTACGCAGTTTCGTTCCCTCATACCTCCATTAAAACAGGCTCTCGTACGTGTGACAAATTGAGCGCAGCCAAGCGTGAAACAAATGAATCGACTGCTCTATAAAAATGCGTTTCCACTTATAATGTCGTCATGTGCACACGAAATTAAGAAATAATGACTAGTGCACAATTTAAAACGCAGCTAGTATAAATCATTAATTTCTGGTGCATAAATATAGAATAAAGTTATTTTATAAATCATTTTGTTAGGGGTAAACAAAGTATCCCCCGTGGTTGTGATTCTTTTGGTCGGAATGTGAATTATTCACAGTGAGCGTTGGCAATGCAATTCTTTATTGATAAAACGTACTGAGGGAAAAAAACAGACATACATTTTGTATGCTTAGTCACGATACAATATGAATTGGCACAGCGCCGGACATAAGGGGGACCTGAAGGACTTCAGACAGTATATGCATCGTCTTAATTAACATAGATAGTGGACATACTACAGCATTCCCTTACAACGTTAATTATCGTTTTTAAAAGTATAGGTCGCGTGTTGTTTGCGATGTTAAAATGGCAAAGTAAATTTGAGTTTTACTTACTAGTGTTCTTTCAAATACTGTCCGGCTTTCTGTTTCCTCGCCTGGTCTGTTGTTTTCAGCGGCCTGTGAGTTTGTCCTTACTGTTTGTTTACCACCTCGATGACGTCTTCGCGTGGAGGTACCTATAGGGATGTAAACCCCTTGCGTAGGCAGTGATACAGCGATACACAGCACCAAAACAGACAATATACTATGGGACAACACGCACATCTTCGAAGTAAGATAAATTAAGCCAAACTTAAGTATAAAATAAAATCCGAGTTTTTATCACGTAGCTTCAGTGAAACTATTCCAATATTTTCGTGTTTTTATTTACAATCAAACTGCTGTTTATAATACTCAATTGAAAAACAGTTTTCTCCCAGGAGAGATTCAGCGGTGATCCATCTATTCATCCAACGTGATAATGATGTAATATTGTCGCAAGCGTCACAAACGCGTCAATATTATGTACTGATGGGTGTAACTATGTTATAAGTAAAATGTCAAACGAAGTGAAGACTTTAAAAGCACTCTGTAGTAGTGTATATACAGTACTGCCTAACTGTCCGTCACCAAGTGTAGGTTTGTGAAATGAGAACTTCATTCCTCTAGAACTCTACTATATACCGCTGTTTGACACCCGTGGGATTAATTACATGTTCTTTATGCTTGCCTTCTGAAAACATAAGAGAGATGCCGACAAAGAGCGCCGAAATGCCTGCTAATTGGTTAAAACCTTTAAAGTACACATAGCGTAACAAGAAGAGTTAACCAATCATAGACCGGCAAACTTCCAGTAAGTTAAGGGGTTAGGGTTGAGTGGTTCGCAGATGGAAGTCGGAGATGAATGTGTTGGAGGCTTGCTTGCTCGCTCGATGCGGATACCGGTCGTTTACTGGTGCGTGAACCCCTGAATAATTGGTTTCTTACAGAGGGGACAGACGGTGTTTCTCGGATTCTTTTCCTTTGCAGTGCTCGCCGACGCGGGCTAAGAACACAAACTGCTGTCTTTGGCTATGTCTCTAGACAAGTTGTCGGCTGCTCCGTCAGCAACTTCTTCCAAAGTAACGCCATGAATTCCCAAGAAATTCGGGCAACACGACTCGCACAATGTTAATAATTTTGTCGCGAATGAATAACGACACAATGGGGGATAAATACAATATTTCACACTTTGTTTAATTGCCTGTCTCTTCTTTGAAGTAGTATCAATGCGCTTTTCTCAATTAGCATAAGTTGCCCAGTCCAGGAAAAAAGATGGAAAAGCCCAGGTTTGAGATGTGTAACATAGTGTAGTAATATAATTAATGGTTATATGAATGTAGACGTCCACTGAATGATTCGTAGGATGGTCTCTATGTTTTTTTTTTCTCACAAGATTCTCTTTATCGTCTTAAATAAACTACAAGTTACGCCTACCGATTGATACGTTTCATTCGTAATACGTTTCATTCATAATATTCAATCTAAATATACCTACATAACTGTACAATGGTAGGAGCATGCCTATTGAAACAACAGACAAAACGGCATTAGATGTGAGAACGTATGTGGCACGACAGGTGAAAGAAAACCAACTTACGACATAAGCTGGCATATATGGCTACTGTTTGTATTGACTCGGAGCTGGAAAAAAAAAAACCCCTTAAAAATAAGCCTATAGCTGTATTCGTCTTTTTGTTTATTTCTAAATATAAAAACTGTTTATCTTTCGTATATTAATAATAATATGCAGTAATTTATAACACGCCAATTCAAAAAATATCAAAGGCGCAGTGAACAAATAAAGCAATTTTGTAAACAAAAAAGTTATATTCTCAGCTTATTCGTAATAAACCATTTTGAAAATCGGTACGTGTTATATATCTAATCGATATATGGCACTGTACCAGTATTGCGCTTGAAACAAATAGTTATCATCAGCAAACGTTTTATATGTACACCATACTGTTTGAGTTGCTTTAATAAGATGGAATGGTCAACTGATGACAGGTCAAGGAAAAACAACTGCAAAACGTTACCCTAAGCTAATATTTTACTGTGCTTTGCTAAAAACTCCTTAAAAAACACAATTTAGATATTTAAACTGCTTACTTTTTAGGCTTATAAAATACTATTAGATTTGAATGAGCAGGGAGCAGTCATATTTATGTAAATATGACTGCTCCATGGAATGAGCAAAATAGAAAGGAAATACAATGAGAAACAATTCTCCGCGCCGGACATAGCCATAACACCGTTACTATTTGCTTTGCATAACAATCTTTTAAGAAAAAATATTTGTAAATCAGTGAAAACTGCAATATTTTTATACATGAGTTTTATTAAACCGTTTAGGGTTTTATAGTATTATTTTATATTCATATTATCAGAGATTGTTATTAAGACGTTTTTCATCGTGTAAAGAAGCAATTCCCGGATGGAATAAAGGTATAATGATGTTTATGCAAACCAAGCACAATACGTAATTGCTAATGTTTTGAAGGTAGAGGCCCGTAGCCAGGTTCTTCCAAGTTTGGGTTTTCTGGGCGTGAAATTCACAGTCGAAGCCACGGTGGGGTCTGCGAAACCCCCAAAGCACTAAGGATTTTTGTGCTTTAGGGGTCTGAATAAGGCTATAAAGCAGATGTTTGAAAATGCCTGTGTCTGGGTGGGTCTGCAGTGCATTAGTTGGGTTGGAGGACTTATTTGGGAAATTTAAAGAGGGGGTTTCGCCAGAAAAGAGGGGGATTTGCTAGAAAAGGGGGGTTCTCCCGAACCATAACCCCCCCCCCCACACCCCTGGATAGTACTGTGTAGAGTAAAGTAGCGCATTGGGGTGATTGTAAACAACACTGTCTTGAGATGTAACAAAAGAAACGGAAAAGCAGAGATCAAGGGGAACGAATGCTAATCATGCAAGGACCATGGTTTCAGCACATACCGTACCTATAGGCTATAGGCCTACGTATATAAAGGTCTGTGGTTTGAGGGATCCTATTCCCTACCCTATATAATGGGTTATATAGTTGGCATTTCTCCCTGGAAGCTCCGGAGTTCTTATAAGGTTTATCTAAACTATTTCAGGATTTGTTTGTTTTTTTGTTTGTTTTGCTGCAACTTGGAGTGGGATCCTCCTTCCGCCACCTGGATCCGCCACAGTACGGAGCAGGGGCAGATTTAGGGAGAGGGCCGGCCCCGGCTCCCCACCCCCTTTTAGAAAGAAAAAAAAAAGAAGAAAGAAAGGAAGAAAAAAAGCCCAAAGCGCTTCAGAGCCAATTTTTGGGCGTCTAGAGCACCAAATGTTCGCGGGGCATGCCCCGAAACACGTAGGGTAATGTTATCTCGATCTGCCTCACTTTTGACGATGTGTCCCCCCTTTCGGACATCTCTGGATCCGCCCCTGTAAAGTGCACTTCTTTTTACATTATGCCTCAAACTAGTGTCTAAAATTTTGAATGAAGGTATTATGCTACAAATCCAGTACGGCTAGATTTTTTTTCTTTAAGTAAGTGGCTTTGTACAGGCTGACGCTTATTCCAGTATGACCCGGAGATTCACTATTTTACTTTATTGTATATTTCCTCTTCAGTCACAGGCCTAGACCCCCATGGTTTTAACATAGACCTACCATCCGGTAAGGTTGATGTTTGGCTTGACATGCCCTGGTTATCATTTATCTGTTTTGTCACATTAATAATATAATAATGAAATGCTTCAGCTTTCTGTGTTTGTCATCTGATATGCGGTCTCATTATTTAAGCTTTCAGTTACTCATGCATCTTCGTTTTCTTCCAAGAATTTCAATGATAGTACTCCTAGTTTATTTGATCATGGAGGTATTAAATACCTCCATGATTTGATAAAGGTTTACTAGGCACTTTTGATAGGCACGATATTCTTTATTCTGTTTGCACTTAAATTTAGTGCCTAATTAATTTGTTACCTTGTTATCCTTAGGCCTAGGCCTATACAGTTTTTAGTGGCACTACTGTACGTTATTCGTTGTTTCATGTAAACACAATTTTGTAAAGTTTGCCACATTTCGAATGTGTAGTTCCAAATAAATAATTATAATAATTGTAATGTGATTTTGAACGTCTAAACCGAAGTGTTTTTATATAATTGGACGGAATATGTGGGTTTTTTACTACTACTACTACTACTACTAACTAATACAATAACAATAACAATAGAATAATTAGGCCTCAAATAATGATCGAATTGAGTATAAACCTAAAGAATTAAGAAGGAACCTAAAATGACTGACGTGTTATAATTATACTGCCATTATTTTTCGACTCACGACGAGCTGGAGTCAAACGCTCTTCAAAATGTTCACGCGAGTTTTTTTCCTCACTTTTGTTGTTCCACCGAACAGCCAGTTAAACAATACTTGAGGCCTTTGGCGGCAAATGTTCGGTCACACTCTGCATATCATAGGCCTACATTGGTTTAAAAAAAATTGGCTGGCGAGCTCCTAATCTGACGCCAAGCAACACTCTGTGCGTTTTAACATGACCTAAATCATCAGTTTAAGTACTATGATAAGTTAGGCCTGCATAAGTGCTTCTTGTCACAATGGTCGTAGTTGATTCAGGCCTACTACTTGAGTAGGGAAAATATTTAACCCGAATTAAGTCATTGTAAGCGCACTCGCGCAATGCTAAGCGGATGGTTGGTTACTGACCCTTCTTTCGAAGAATAAGTTATTCTTGGTATATTCAAGAATGCAACTTAGGCCTACGACTTAAACACGTAGTAGTACACCAGGCCTATGTCGTCATAGAATGGGGCTCTATAAATAACGCATTTCAATAATGTCTGAAGTTATTAACAATTCACAACGTCTGTGGCACGCGTGTGTGCTCACGTGCGTCGATACACTCACGCCTACTCTACTTTGGAGATGTTTACTGGTTGAGCTTCGTTATTTTAGTACGGTAACATCCCGCCAAATGTACTGTATCAGTAGAATAAACAAAAAGATTTTTAATATGGGCCTATTTTCTCCATGATCTTAAACACGATGTCTTACTGAGTTCTTTACCATTCAAGTTAACATAATATATTTGGCTAGGTCTATGGATTAACGAATGTTAATCCTTATGCTACTGTATTACGCACTCGGTAGCATACACGGTGACATGTTTACGTTTCTGTATTCATTGACACTAACGTTAATTAGCATAATTACATATTATCGATCAATGGAAGAAGTACATAAAAGTAAGAAAAACGAGAAAATTAGTTGTTTTTTAGAAATGACAGCTTTAAAATATCGATATAACCATGGAGATATAACCTAACCTCTGTAAAACGTGTTATTGTTACTAGTTAGTTAGTCATACTCGTAAAACATCAACTTCACGTTTATATAGTCTAGACAAAGCTTAACATGCTATATTTAGAATTTTATATTGTTTAATTTGTATATATTTAAAAAATTAACCCTCTAATAGGCCTATCTATGGGAATACTATACACATTGCGACTCTTCATTTGAAATCTGTTTGACGTGGCTTAACTTTATTGTATGCTTCTGCAAAATTTGTAATAAATTTGGTAAATTAAATAAAGTTATTTACCACAAGTCTGTCTCAAAATCGTCGTTTCTTGGTAATAACGAATTTAAAAAAAAAGTTCAATGAAATTTGTGGATGTTAACAGCTGATGTGACGTTTTGCAGACCGAAATCCA